GGGGGGGGGGGGGGGGGGGAGAGAGGGGAGCGATGACCACGCCGTCGACAACACGTCGGAGATTAAGAGCTAGAACCTGAGCAGGATCGTGTGGGCTCCATGGAAACCACGACACGAATCTACGGCGGAGTGTTACAGAAAATACTTCTCTTCTCTCCGTCGGCCAGTTTCCGCTCAGATTGGTTGAGCGGAGCGCATCAAGCCGGTCGTTCGGCGCAGCAGAATTGGTCCGCAAACCACCCCCGCACCAAGAGCATCGCTATATTTGCGCACGAACGACAACTACCGGCGTCCTTTTACCTCTCGCCGACCTGGACTACCGTACACGGGTCAGAATCCGGTGGGACCCCAACTAGCCAGCCACAAGAGGACGACCCGCGTGGCGGCACTCCAGCACAGCTGGAAACAACCCAAAGAGTGCTCAGCAAAAAACAAACCAGCCCCGTGTGGTTCTCTACGGGGTATTTCTTCGCGACTTTGTCGGGGTGTGTGATACAGCAGTACCTGATCCTCCAGGTCTTCGGTGAGCTTTTGCGTGCGGTTGAAGAGCGTGTCGTAGTCTCGCAGGTACTTTTCCATCGTGGCTCGAGCCTCGCTGAGCTGCTTGTCGAGAGTCTGGCCGGATCCCTGGGCAGTGGCCAGCTCGGCGCTCATCTTCGGAGGTAGGCGGTGAGGGATTCGTGGCCACGGCAAGGGGGGGGGGGGGCGTTGATGGTCGACAAAGATCACAACAGAGCTCAATAGGAAAACATCTATCCGTACAGGGGACGAGCGGCTGATGCTTCCACGGTTTTGAGGTCTGTAACAGTGATGCCATGCAATTGCACCTTGCGGTAGAGCCGCCGGTCGCTGTCGGTCGACTTTGTGGTCTACTTCGTCCACGGATATTGCCCCGGGCCGTTGCGGTGCGCCTATCCAACTCGAATAGGCATATATCTGTAAACGGCATCTACCTGTACACTCTAGTAATGCCAAGCACTCCCATTTTTTTCTTGGAATAGTTCAACTGACTTTTTCAGTGATTTCAGCATCGTGATATCTCCCAGGTCTCGTGGTTTGTCCTCCTCTCTTCCAAACGTAAACGGCACTACACTAATCTTTTTGGCGCTCAAGTACAATGCACATACACAGGATACACCAGTGTTGTATCTTGTATGTACCTGTTCGTGCTCGGCAGTTTTGAGGTCCAGCTTCGAGCGCACATCGCGCAGCTCCTTGTCCGTCCTCTGCCTCCGGCGCTGCTCTCGCGAGATCTCGTTGTCCTGGGTTGAAAGGTAGACACCAAGAGCAACAGTGAGCCGCACTGTGTGTTCTATCAGTTTGGTGCCGCTCAACTCCGCGTCTCGTTTTGTCATTTTACGTAGAGATGTACATGTAGGGTAAGAACTTCTCTGCCGTCATCACACCTTGCTGTTGATGATGTCTCGAGCTTCGCGCAGCAAGGCATCCTTAGCACTGACGTCCGCCGACAGCGACTGTGTCTGGGTGCTCAATTCGTTCAGCTGTGTCTCGTAAATCTGTGTCGTCGTGGGAGGAGGGGTATCGCGTGTGTACAATGCCAACTTGCAACGGAAACATGGAGAATCACGACTTCAAACGACCTGGGTGATTGGCTTCAGTTGCTCCACATGAAACTAACGAACGTAGGTTGCAATATACCAGTAATTTTGTGCATGACGATCTGCGTAACTGCCCACATTTATGGCGAAGTCCGTGAAGCGATTCTCAGTCAGCGAGATATTGAGGTCGTGATAGGGTACTCGCTCGTTTTCGTGGTAAAATCCGTGGTGGGTCAGTACTACATGCAGAATCCCCCCACCGCTATTGTTTGGCCTTGTTCGTCGGTCTTCCGGGTGAGGTCGTCCCTGGCCCTGATGAGCTCCTTCACCATGTTTTCCTGCCCAACGCTCAGGCCCGCACCCTTCTCCACGAGCTTGCTCAGATTTGAGATTTCCTCCTTTAGCTGGTTGATAGTGTCCTTTGCTCGAACTGGCAAGCGGGAATCAACGTCGGCGATCTTGGCGTTAGCGTTAGTTCTGAGAGGGCATTCGAGAAAAAGTATGATGTTAGGTATGCTGTAGGTCACCGCCCTCTCTGAAGGGGGTAGCATGCATGTGAAACGCAAGTAGGGGTGTTTGGGAGCGGCAGTACTGTATCGTGTTTGGTTGCGGGAGCTTCGTCATAGGCCGAACGAGGGCTAACTCAAGACCTTCACGTAGAATAAGAAGCGACAAGACATGCGGGATGCAATACGATCCCCGCGCGGCATTTCCATCAACACATACTACCCGGAAGCCCCGTTGACCGTACTCTGCCGAGCACGCCCCCAACAAGGGGCGTGTCCGGGAGGACGGAAAAGTGTTGTTGGGAGACAACTCTACCTTCTTTTTCGTGAGCGACGTCGACCATGGTCCAGGCTTTCTCTATTTCTTTCCGGAGAGACCCGATGGTGGCCTGGTCCTCCTGCGAGAGCTTGAGGGCTGTCTGAACTTTTGCCGCGTTGTTGACGATCTCCCCATTCAACTCGCGACATTTCTTGATGAGCCGCTTCTCTTGCTCGTGCGACTTCTTGAGCGCTCGATGGAGTTTTTCGTATTCGAGCCTTCAGTCCACCGGAGAGGGAAACGAGTATGACATCGATCATCCGACATGCACTTCCTACCAGTTTGAAGGCTTCGCTCTGCTACACTGTGGGCTCGCAGTTGAGAAAAATGTCGTTGAGAAAAATGAAGACTCATCTGTCTCCACGAAAAACATGAACATTGGGTAGAGAAACACAGCTCAGCCGAGTTTCTTACCCAAAACTTACCCAAAGAATATTGCTGGTGCTCGACGGTGGTGACGAGCTGAACCTAGAAACTGAAACGTTGTTTATCTCCAATTTCCTACTATATTCACTCAATTGTGATCGTTTTGCTGTAACAACACCATGGCGCGTGCAATTGACCTTGCACTGCTGTATGACGGTCTATGCACAGAGTGACGACCGCCTGCTGCTGCATGTTTAGCCAGTCCAAGCACACCCTCCGACAAAAATCTTTCCACGGCCATTCCTTCACAATCCACGACACCAGCCTGGATATGGGGGGTGAATCGCCCCCCCCATCTCGAAATATATACTCTGTATGATCACCTGAAGCGCTCGAGGCTCTTGTCCCCTACTAACTCTGAGAGCACTTCCTGGAAGTCGCGCTCGAGCGCCTCAAACGCGGACGAGTTGAAGTCAACTTCCATCTCGCCGCTTTTCTTGCCGCCACCGACTTGGCCTCCATCGATGGTACCACCGTCCTGCATGGCACGCAGAAATTTTTTCCTCAGGAGGTGCAAGGGGTGGTATCAGGAGCAGAGGAGGTAATGCCTTCCTTGTGAGTGGCGTCCAGGCAAGAGGTTGCGTCGTTGCGTCCATAGACCGAAAGGAGACGACGGTTACTACAAAATAATGCTTCCGAGATTTTGAAAAAAATAAAAAACAGCCCCGGCTCGACTTCTGCCACACCACGTAGGAAAGAGGAATTCTTCCACCACTGGCTGATACCGCCAACACTTCTTTCTCCTGGCCTCTAGCGACATGGCCTATCACAAACGAGGAACCACCATGAAATGGGGTGCCAGGCGCCAGAAAGTGCGCCTTTCGAAATGCGGACAGTTTGTTGACGGTTCACCGCAGAGTGAACCTATCGCAGTTCCGACGAGCCTGCGTCATGCGAGCATGATGGATGATGGAGCGGAACGCGTGACACGCAGCTGTCGCTCTGACCACTGCGCACATAAACGATCTATGGGATGTATCTGTCTGTAAATTGCCGCTATGGGTGACTCGTCAAAATCTACTGCTGCCGTGCCTTCCGTACGTCGCGCGAAGATAGATAGAGCTGGGATAGTCCCACCGCAAACAGCCTCCGATAGTCGGCCCTTGATGACGCCATGGAGTGGCAGGAGTCGCGGAGAAGACTGGCACCAATCTTAGAGACCGCCAGCATACGTTCGAGACGACGGAGCTCGCGATCATAACTAAGTATATACTACCGAGTTGCGGTGGTGCCATGTACTTTGTTTTCGCTATACAGGGCATCTTTCTCTACAGGGGGGCGCTAAACCGAGACCCCCACTGCTGTAGACTTGTGCAAATCTCCGATTTGACCCTCCCCTGCTATGCATACATACCATGGTAGCAAATTAGCAGAGCTGCTAGCTGGAGGTAGCTGTGTGTGGACTGGATACAAAGGGACCATGTACAACATATTCACTATGCTACTTGTAGCGTGTAGTGGATATGCTGTACACACCTGGGGGTTCGAATCAATGGCGGACCACTTGTGACGCCTTTTTTCCATAGAAGTCTGGGATACGCCTGCGAGACGGTATACATTCCAGTCGTCCAAGTGAAGACACATATTTCCGCCCGTAAGGCGATGAACCGCATGGGGCAGCGCTGATTACAGGGATTACAACCCTCGGGTTCACCCAGGTCCAACAACAGCTCTAACAGGCTGAAGGATTCGAACCCCGGTTGTACTTTTGTTGGCTGACTTGTAGCATAGTGGGTATTGTCTACACCATGTAACGAGTCGTTAGTACGTAGCGGTGGAGGTCTAATGCGTGAAATCAGCAAGTACCAGATAGCTCCCGATCATGGCACTGCTTCTGGTGCGAGAAAGGGAATTACTGCTCCTGAGAGGTATGTATCCCTTATTCGATATATTGGGGGTACTTGTAGCATAGTATGACGGGATATCTTCGGTATGGAAATTGCAGTGATGAGATGCCGAGGAATGGGAACTTTCTGGGTATTTTCCTTGGAAGTGAGAAGAGTTTGATGGGGGTTCAGAGAGAAGCGCTTGGTAGTTGAAGCGTGATGAGCGTGACGCGTGCTTGATGCCGTGGCAGATTTACGAGCGCGAGCACGCCCCCGAAGAATACAAAACGTTTTCCCAACACGTCCCTACCCATCCACTTCCCGTCATGGGCTGCCCGCTCTACACTCCCAACACGAAGACCTGAGCCACCCGAATTACCGATCACGCTAGCGTATAACACGTCGTCTACGAGATTCGCGGTCGAGCTTGGTTTAGGAGCATCGCTTTGCGGCGATCGAGAGCAGGGTCAAGATGGCTGGCGCCAGGCGCGAAGAAGAAGTCCGACGAGCAGCGGAGAAAGCAGCGGACGACGCTCGGATCGAAGATCTGGTGAACGAAAGAGTAACAGCTACCCAAGTTCGGATGGAGCAGCTGATGGAGCAGAAACTGGCCGAGCAGATGGCCGCGATGGAGGTACGGCAACGAGCCGAGCAGCAGAGCACAGAAGATCTCCGGAGCGGGACCGAGGACACCACACCAGCAGCAAGCTGGGAGCCCATCGCCCAACCCCTCCACCGATCTGGCCAACGCGATCGCGAATGCCATTGCCGGCCGCCTCCAGACCTCATCCGGCGACATCGATACAGTACCCCACTCTGGGACCCTCCGCATGACTGAGTCTAGACGAATTGCACGTTGGGATGGTGTATTCAAGCAAGAAGGGGACGATTTCCAGCAGAAGCTCTTGATTTTCAAGTCGAGCATGGTAGCATTTGTTGCGCAGGAAGGAGTGCACGAGGGTCCCAGAGTGGGGTACTGTATCGATGTCGCCGGATGAGGTCTGGAGGCGGCCGGCAATGGCATTCGCGATCGCGTTGGCCAGATCGGTGGAGGGGTTGGGCGATGGGCTCCCAGCTTGCTGCTGGTGTGGTGTCCTCGGTCCCGCTCCGGAGATCTTCTGTGCTCTGCTGCTCGGCTCGTTGCCGTACCTCCATCGCGGCCATCTGCTCGGCCAGTTTCTGCTCCATCAGCTGCTCCATCCGAACTTGGGTAGCTGTTACTCTTTCGTTCACCAGATCTTCGATCCGAGCGTCGTCCGCTGCTTTCTCCGCTGCTCGTCGGACTTCTTCTTCGCGCCTGGCGCCAGCCATCTTGACCCTGCTCTCGATCGCCGCAAAGCGATGCTCCTAAACCAAGCTCGACCGCGAATCTCGTAGACGACGTGTTATACGCGAGCGTGATGTGTTTCTCGGCGTGTGATCATCAAGCACTCGCTTGTGAGTGTACGCTGCTTTGTCCCAGTGTACGTTTTATACCAGCGATTTTGGCGGGCTGGCATGCATGGTGCATCATTGTGCGGTTACCTCCACATCCGTTCATTTGCACGCATTGATTGCGCATGACCGGGGTGCTAGTTCCCGGAATGCCTGCTTGTGATTCTAATTCAGCCCCAGATGAACGTTCTCTCGGTGGGACGGTCACAGGTGGGAAGTACTCGAACACACACACTGCTCGCCTCACCCGCATTTACCGTTGCCTCCTACTCGAAAAAGCCAACGAATGATGAACAGAGCGAAAAGAGACTCAGCGTGATCGCATGGAAAGACGGGGCAGTTGTGTTGCGCGTCGCAGTCTCCCAGGCCAGGTCCCGCTTGCTCTCGATGCCCGTATGCCGTCGGTCTGCTGTGGTTTGCGTGTACACCCGTTTGCTCGTACGTTGTTTTCCTAGACTACACTAGAATGGACCATATCTATCATTACTTTGTCTGAAGACTCCGTGTTTTTTAACACGCGATGTACGATGATCAGGCCGAGTTGATGAAGTCGTACCCGATGCACCGGTCGCCCCGGTGGTCTAGTGGTATCCTCGTAATCCGCTAGTCGCCGAGGTCGTGAGTTCGAATCCCCATGGGGTGAAAATTTTACGAAACTTGGGGGTGAAAGCGAAACATAGCTGAAAAGCTCTCGTGAGAAACAAACTTCGACGTTAGTTAGCACCGTTGACGAGGGAAAGGGAAGGCTGGACCCTTCTCGCGATAAAAATAAAATTCAGCACGCACCGCAGGAGGAAGGTGGGGTATGAAAAGAAGAAAAAAAAAAGCCCCGGTGTTTACCCCCTTCTGTGTGACCCTGAATGGTTGTAGTTGTACGAAAAAATACACTGAAAAGTGTAGTACTCTACATACGCTGAAAAGTGTAGTACACGTCTCACCACGAAAAATGGGGGGACTGTCGCCATAATAAATAGGACGAAAACACACACACACCCGATAGGTGAACTTTTTTTCTAGACTAGTCTACACTGACTGGCGTAGTTTCACTTTTGGACTGGAGACGGGCAAACTTGCGTGTTTTTCTGAGTGCCCTGTTTCACGGGGGTTGGATCCCCTGTCCCAAGGGGAATTCCGACAGGATATCACTTGCCGCACTCCATTGGGAAGCAGCTGTTGGCTTTTGTTCCGTGAGAAACCTAGAGCAACCAATGGTCTACACACACACGTGTTCACCCACATTTTCGTCACACAATCCAATGTACAGCCGCCAAGGCAGACACCCCACCGGGGAATCTTGGACAGCATCAATCGTTTGGTCGGTTGATTGTCGCAGGAAAAACCAAACAAGCGCTTTCACAGCAGCAGCGGTAGATTATTCCTTTTCAGTTGAGCTGGAGGTCACAGTTTTACCGATGTTTTTCTGGACAGGACTCTTGTGGGAAAGCTGCGCCTGGACGTTGGGCTCCTCAACCGCCGTAGTTCCTAGTTCCATGACAACCACCACCTAACCCCAGACCATGCAGCTTTAGTCCCCGTGCGTGTCAGACCCTCCCTGTTTTGACTCCGCTGACTTACTCCGCGACCCATCAGTTGCGCCGCCGACCCCCCCTCCCCGCCGAACTATGTGGTGTGCGGGGACTCGAGTAAGCGCAAGGCTTGCTGACGCATCCAAATCTACCGCAACTTACGCAGCGCACGATCACTTTCGCAACCCCAGTCTGGTATCTATTGCTTGACGTACAAGGAAATGGTCCGATCGTCCGGCAAGTAACAAATAACGTCAGGGGATCGCCCGCATGTCTACGTGCTCCCCCCGGCAAAAACATACGCGGGGCCCCAAACCAGTCGAGGTGAGAGCACGACGCCGGCAGAGACAGCAGCAAGTAACCTACGACACGCTGCTGTGAATCGGTTCGAGCATTGGCCCATCGGGGTGTGTGTTTGGAAACGACAATCACGCGTGACGAACGGAAACGAATCGTGTCTCGTCCTGTCAGCCGATCACACCTCCCGCAGACCACCATATCACCCTCTGGACCAACCGTCCGGGGAACAAGGCCCCGCGCCCCTGTCCACCCAACCACCCGCCGGAAAACCACACCAGGCAACCGAATCGAAACACAGCCGGCCACCAACTCCGCTCGAACAACCACAACGGTTGGCAGGCTGAAGACGAGCAGCAGTGAAGCAAACAGCAGGACGCACGCATAACCACCATCACCCGCCGCGACCTCACCGAGAACGATCAAACCCCGTCCTGCCGCAGCAGGCCATCTAACAACAAGGAAGGGTGTTCTCAAGTGTAAAAGCCACCACAGGCAGATTATCGGGCGCCCCCATCTAGTCCGAATCCGAGTCGCTCGAGCTGTCGCTGCTCGACCCGCTACTAGAGGACGATCCACTCGAAGACGACGAACTCGACGAAGAGGAGGAGGAGGAGGAGGAGGAGGAAGAGGAAGACGAGGACGAAGAGGAAGAGGAGGAGGAGGAGGACGACGACCCGTCGTCCGCCTCGGCCGCCGCCAGCTGTAAACGCCATCGCGCGGAGGTAAGGGGGGACAGGGGACGCAGGAGACGGAGGATGAACGACAAGGCACAAGCCAACAAAGAACACCATACTAGTCATCCTGCAGGGCGTAGAGCAAGTGTCTTCAGCACCAGACATGCGCTGGCGTAGCCGGCCGTGCACGACCACACACAGCAGTGACACTGCCTTTGTGAGAGCAAAAACACAAACACCAGCAAAGGCTTCTCCTACAAACTGCCACGTAGCTGGTGACGCATACCTGCGCTTCCATGATCATCTTCGGTGCGTTCTTCAGGTGCAGGCGCAGGCCATCCGTCAGTCCACCAAGCCCGATAGCCGTGAAGAAGTTGATGGCGAAGCGGGTGTTGCGGGGGTTGTCGGTCGGGAACATCCCCTGGAACACCTCCGCCATGTAAGGGTCGTTGAAGCGCTCGCGGAGGTTCTTCAGCCCCATGTTTTCGGAAAGCTCCTGGGTGTAACAAGGGTGGGCGCAGAAAAGGGAGGGGGGGGGGCCGGCGGGCGGGCGACAGACAGGATAGACAAATGGGCGAAAAAAAGCAGTTTTGAGTGACGAAATCGACGGCCGGATGGCACTGTAGAGACTACAACCGATCCTGCATGCAGCGCGCAAGAGGCTTGACTGCGCGAGTCAGCGAGATCTTGGCGGGTCAAAACAGCTACGCAGGCGTTGCGCCGTCAATGCATGCAGGATACTTGCGCCGGGACAGCAGCTGACGAGAGCGGTCGATGGTGAAAAAAACAAGCGACCGCCGCAAAGCACCCCACACGAACAGCAACAACCGGACGGTAAAATCGCCCCGCGCCGTCCCAGAACCACAGGCAGAGAAGAGAGACAAAAATACCTGACACACGCACAAACAGCAGTCCAACGCATACAAAACTAAACATTCGATGTGTCACTTGACACTCGACACAATCAACTCTTGTCGCAGCGCACCAGCACTAGGATCTTGATGAAGATTCGGCTAGAAGACGTCGTGGCGTCCTCGCTGAGGCGGATGGACTCCAGACACGTCCACGGCAGGGCATCCGTGTACAGCAGGTGGGCGAAAAACTTGGCCACGTTGCGCAGCTTGTTGGTCTCCAGCCTGCGAGACAAGTGTTTTTTTCGAGGGGTGGGGCGGGGGTGATCAGCAAGTGTCCCCGCCGTCGCGCGGAAACGGAAACGGGAGGGGTGGTAGGCGTGAGAATCGAGGGGAGCAAAGGCGAAACCGTCGGACATAACAATGGCGTAACTTTTAACACGGAGTAGCATCGAGCGAACTGCGACGGCAGGCGTACGTGGAATTTTGCATGCTTTAGCCATCCCCTCTACATTGCGGTGGACGTGGACGTCAATAACGACGGAGTTCTGCAGGAGGGGGAGCCACACAGTGGACGCCCTGGAACAAAAAAAGGAAGGTGTGCGAAAAACGGCACGTTAGGCAGCAGCACAATCGATTTAGGTTTGAGCCAAAACCTCGTGCATATCACAAAAGGGTGAAACTTCGGGCAAACTTTGTCGACGCCTTTGGGAAGCCCAACCTTCACGCTCGACGCCGCCGCGAACGGTGGTCCCACACTGCTTAGCTCGTGAACGGTTGTCCTACACCAGGGAGTAGGAAGCGCTTGATTCTACTCACCGGTGGATGGTGTTGTAGTTGGTCTCGAAGCACTCGGTGAAGGCGGCCTGCCAGCGGCGGTGCATCATGCAAAACCGCTGCCCTATCAGGCCGTAGAACGAGCGCCAGGTCCGCTCCTGGCTGCAGCACTCGATCATCATGTTGCACAGTTCCTTGTCCGCGTAGACGAAAAAAACAAAAAGCAAAAACGCGCGGGAAGAGCTGAGCGGGGATAACGTATTCGACAGAGAATCGGAAAACGATCGATGGCGTGGTGGTTGTTAGTGCGTTTACACCCTTCGCTGTCAGGACTTGAAAAAAAAGAGTCGTCGGGTTGACATGAAACGATGTGGTCGCGCGAAACGTTTCGTGCTTCTTCCCAAAAGTTTCCAGGCTCCATCGACCGAGGGCGTACAGGTGTACCACAAACGCTTAACAGCAGTATACCACGGATTTCGGGCAAAAACCAGCGACGATACAAACGGACCGTGCCATGCTTGGCGGAGTTTGATGGGGGGATCACAATACATAATGCAGGACTCACAAAACAAACGCTCACGCTACGATACGCGCACACGATACCGGGACGAGGCGTATGCTCACTAGCCTGCCGCCTAGCGCGTCCGAACAGCACGAAAAGGGGGAAGTGAAAAATGGGGGTATACCCGGGGTGCTTAGGCACAAAATGGGGTATACTTTTCTTTTTTCGGCATGGGGCGCAACGCCTGTCGCCGGGTGGGCGCCTTTGAACCGCCTATATTTTCGGTGTGGGACACACGGGAAAGCTCACGCACACGCTCGGGGGTGTATATTATTTTCGGGATTTTTGGTCCCCCGCTCAGACGTGCGTCATTCTCCATTGTCGATGCTTGCCGAAGAACAAACACAGTCACAACACGAAGAAAAAAAGACAGCGTTTAATCAACACTCACTGCTGTGAAGACTTCAACACATCCCTTCACAACTTGGGTTTTATCTCGAACGGGTACTATTGTCTTCTCTCTGTCACTTGTTACGTCGTATGTTTTGAACAGTCATTGACACTAGCCGCGTGATGATATACACATGATATTAAAGTCATTGATACCATAAAGTCGCGAGCCGCCGGACTTGCCGACAGAGCCGCCACAAGTTTTCACCAACTCTTCCCGCCCGAAACGCGGCGGCAACGAATTACCTCGTATACCTATACCACTTGCGACAACACAACGTTAGCCTCTCACCATCTCGTAGCCCTCCTGAATATCAAGCTTGGTGAGCTTGTGAGCGCATTCCTCGAATCCTGCGCTCGACATGATGGTCAGGTATATCGTTCGGCGAAGGTTGACCAGGTCCTGCTCCGTCAAATCCTGGATCTGATTTTTCGGTTGCGTCCAGGGGTGGGGGCAGGAGGAGTCCCTACAAGTTATTTGACTATCGGCCACCCAGCCCTCTCAGTAGCTACATCTCCTACGCCTCTAAGTCTCTGAAGAGACGCCGCCCACACTCGGGGGCACTTTCTACTCTCTCTCACATACATCCCGTAGGTTTCAGACGTAAGATACCACACCCCTTGAGCCGATGTTCATAGCTCGATTCCTCCACGACCAAGAGGATGCAAACATCAAACGAGACGTTGTCCGAAAGCTCTCTACGATAAGGAAGGTTCCCACGTCATTGCCATGTTCGGCGCCGCCACTCTTGTTCGCTGCGGAGAATCGAACTTTGACTATGCATCTAGGGGGTATGGTATCTTATGTCACCCACGGTGTTCGTTACTGATCTCTCCCTTTCAATTCTGGCGTTTTGGTGTAGCGGAAGGGGGGTTTACCGCGGGCATGCTAGTGGCGAAATAACGAAGCAGTTCACAACAAAAACGAATGGATAGGTGCAAGGGGGTGATGGCTAGAGGAACGCATCCGAACAGAGCGGCGTCAACACAACAAAAAAATTCGCACTGCTGTAGCGCCCTAAAAGGGCACCCCACCTGCTGAGTCATCTGCGGCTGAGCCTGTCCCGAGGCGGCGGCGGGAGCATCGTCATCGTCGCTGTCCTCGTCCCCATCATCGTCGTCGTCATCAGAGTCATCAGAGTCAGACTCGCCCAATATTTCCCCCTTGATCTTCGCCCACATGTCCTCGTTCTCTTCGTACCTGTCACGACACGCAAGCCGGAACGTGTTTTACGTGCGTGTGAATGTCTCGATGTGTGTTGCTTAGTTGCCACCACCGATCGGCTAACCAATCAAAACATGTCGGCCTCGAAGCTTGTGCGTGAGCCCCACTACATATGACGCCAATGCTACTCATAATAGACGCGTACCAGGTGCACAAGGAATTCTTGGTTGAACTACTTGTACCACCGCTGTAATTTGGGAGACATTGCACACACATTCAAACGGGGATTTGTTGACACCAGCCGCCGCTATCTTCACTTCTCTTCGACCTAATCGACATTCAACCCTGTCATCCCGCAAACACGACAGCAGTAGCATTAGCAGCAGCAGCAGCAGCAGCCCCAGTGCTTAAGGCCCAAACACGGCGATAGCCGCAACACCAACAACGCACCAACAACGGCAACGCCTCTCCCCGCCGCTCTCAACTCACTTCTCATCCATGCGGAAGATGTCGAGCATCTCCTCTTTCTCCAGCTTGTCCTCGAGCCCAATCTCGAACGTGATCTGGTCGTCCCGCTCCACCAGGTCCAGCTCGGGGGGCACCGCAGGGTGGTCCGAGAACCCGCTCTTGCGGATCGCGAACAAGGTCTCGATGGTGTACTGAACCCGCTTGTCGATCTGACCCTCGTGGAGAATGCCGCGAAACCGCTCGAACACCGCGTGGAGGCCCTGCGGCGAGAGCTCCTGCAGCACCTGTGGGCACACGCGCGCGAAAAACACGGCATACGCGCGCACAAGGGCGCGGCACGGGACGAAGGAAGCGTTACAACGTTGTATTTCCTCGGGTTCGGGATCGGCGCGGGCTGTCATCGTGAAGGCATCGAGTAAAGGCCAGGCAGTTTCTCACGGTGGCCACAACACAAAAAGCAACAAGGGACAAGAACAAAAACAAAACACGAGAGTGCTGCTGTGACCGCGTTCTTCTGTTACGTGACAGCAAGGTCACATACCTGTCCAATCTCTTTCGTGAAGTTGACGGCGATCTCGACTGAGTCGTCCGTCGGCTCTTCGAGGAGCACCGTCAGCAGCTGAAGAGCAAGCAGTTCGTGCGCGACCTGAAAATTTCGCGCAGAGACAAACAGCAAGAACGCCGCGCGTGGAAGCGCGTGCGGTTGCGGATCCGAACAAAGCTTGGTCGCCTGGAAGACACAGGCGAAAACGGACAAGTAACCAATCTTGGACAACACCCTGCCTGTCTCAACGCAACAGTCAATTTGACACGTGTTTCAATCAAACTGCTGTAGTTGGCGTAATTTATCACGCGGTTTTCCGTGAGAACATTGCCACTGGACGCCCCAGAATCTGTCAGCAGTTGCTGCCGATGGAATCTACAAAAATGTATCAATCAACAATGAAAACTCTGCTGATTCGACCCCCAAAGGCAATGCGCGGGTCCGAGCAGGCGCTGGTCTCCCTCACCTGCTGGTTCACCATGTGCGCGATGAACTTGGCCAAGGCAGTGGCCACCACCTTGTCCCTGCGCTTGTACGCGCGGCGGAACGCCACGATGACCCTCTTGAGGATCAGCTCCCCGTTCTCGGGAAGCTTGGTGTTGACCACCGCCACCAGCGCCGCGAAGACGGGGGTGAAGCCCGGCGACGCTAGCTGTGCCTTCATGACCGCGCGAGCGAAGAGCCCCCGACCGCGCACGAGGTTGAGCTGGAAGAGCTCAGGCGCGATCATCTTGATGTTGGTCGTGTTTACCTGGAACGTAAGAGAGAGGCCGCCGGGGGCTGAGTGTGCAGAAGCGTTCGTAGAGATGTAACGAGCGAAAGATAGGTTTGGGCACGGTGGTGTGGTCGGGTACCCCCCGGTTGGACGGGGAACGACGCACGCACGCCAGGTCGAAGAAAACGAAGGAAGTCGATTCTTGTCGCTTCCCGATGAGTTTCGCCGCGCCCGAGGTTGGTTTAGATTGTAGCGCTACGGTATTATTAAATACACAACGTTTGATCGCAGCAACCTGCTACCTTGGCCGACTACGAGAATCGACAGCGTCAAAAGTCGTGTACACTCGCTCCACCATTTTCTCTACTACTGCTGTGCCTCCACTTTCTGAGTCACTTGTCTTCCAACCGGGCGCAAAAGGTGAGAATGCACACGGTATCGGCCACCAGATCTCACACAGGAGATGCAAAAACCGGTATCACAGCTCCAGCATTGCCCCTACTATAACCTCATCACCACAACGCACATGCCGCACACAATCGTACGCGGCAAGTCTATATCTTCTGCTTGAACAAGGCCGACAACCCAACACCTGCCGAGAGGAGAGTAAGCAGAGACAGCATACGAGAAAACGAACCACACACCAGCTACCGGTGGTGTTGACACGTCTGCCATTGGTCGTAGACTACATCACCACCCCCTGTTGTCCGACTCATAACGAGGCAAGCAAGGGTCAAGCGCCATCTGGTGAGCGAGCGGCACAGCAGTATGCACAGCAGCCACAGACTCGCCTTGTTGATGAGACCGTTGATGCTCTTGCGCAACGCCTCCCAGGCGATCCTCTGGTACTCCTTGGTCGCCTTGCCCATCGTCTCGGCCTCCTTCTGCATCTGCGCGAGCTTGAAAGGCGGGATGTACACCCCGCCCGTCCTACCCGTCACCGTGGCTGGCTGATCTACCAAGACGTTGACCTTGGGCTCGGCCGCTGGCTTTGCAACGGCAGCAGGTGTCCCCCCCCCCCCCC